TCCTTTTTAGATTTATATCACCTTCAGTCAACACAGAAACACTAGTTTCCTTTTTCCCCAAAGTTCTTGATGCACATTTGTCTGCTGCATTACTATCTAACTACCAGACTGAGCATCCTCATGCCATGCTCACCCATGCTCAGAGACTTCAGTCTCTCTGCATCAGACAATTGCTGTCCATTGGTCAAGACTTAACTGATCTCTCTGGTTACTGTCAACTCTTAAACACCTCCGACACACAGCGCAACAGCACAGTTTATGGCAAGGGCTTCTCAGATACTTAGCTTCTGCAACTTCTGTGCTCTGTGCCTAGACCAAGCACAGACATCAGGAAGTTTCTCAGTGGGTCATGGCAGTCCACGGACTTCCACCTAGCCTAGTCCTGGAAACTGAGCTACTGCTTTTAGACCTGCCACAGACATCTCTACAATCAGACATGTAGAGAACAGTCTTGAGAATGAGCAAGCTAAAAGGCAGAACTAAAACCAAAACATGGACAAACTTGCACCATCTGTTTTGAAATGCCAACACTTTCCCAGAATAACCTGTGCATCACTACCTCAAGATACTCCCCAAAATAAACGCTTAATTAAAAAAAAGAAAATGGTATATGTGTGAGGAAGGCAACACATTTGTTCTGGTGTGTGTGGCTCAGAGCTTCACCCCTGCCTATACTAGGTTGTCTCTGTGTATCTGCATTCCTCAGCATTCATCCTGCAGTTTCATACAAGAAATTCATGCTTTAATTTGGCAGCAGGGCTTGACTACCTGTGAAAAAAGTAATAAAAAAATAGAGAAATCAAGAAGGTGGTTGTCAGAAGAGAATGAATCCAGATGCAGGTTTTTTTTTTCACCCAATTTTGAGTAAATTAATAGTGGTATCTTGTCAAAACAAGAAATAAAGGCTATGGTTGCCATTTTTAAAAGCACATGAATGGTCTAGAAACAAAAGCCGTGTTGACTCTCATGAGTCAAAACATCTGAGAATCAAAGATGGGTTTTGGTTTCTTCAACATACTGACCCACTGTCTTTTTAGAAGTTCTGGGGTATCCTCTAGGCCACAGCTCCTGATTCAGCAGTTTGTGTCATATTTGCCAGACTTACACCAGGCCCACTCTAGGCCATCTCAAATGATACTAGCTGCCTACATTCCGGCCATTAAGTCCCTTTTACTTTATTTTTTTCACAGGTGCTATTCTTGATGCCTTCCATGAGAACTGAGAATGAACAGAAACTCTAACATCCAGGTTACCTATCAAAGTGTCTTGACATAAATTCAGTGATGATTGATTTCTAAAGTTTTCCAGAAACTTGATAATAATGACTGAATGACATAAAAAGGCACTCAATCATGGTAGTAACTTGTAAGAAGGAAAGGCAGATGACAACTTGAGATACAGATAGAACATAAACTGTTTTGCTGTTTCCATAGCTGATAATATAGTTGTTAACTGCAAATTGGATATAAATTGCTGGACAGCATATGAACAGCTACCTCTGAATGCTACTACTCAGTAGTGTTCACCATGACAAGGAAACTTCTGTCCTTGGAAGGAGGAGAAAAGCTTTTCTCCTCAGCCTATGGAATAAGGGAGCAAGCTGCGCTCAGAGATGTACAGATTCACTTGTCAAAGTCTGGGTTGTTTTTTTAATCACCAGGGATGACTGCAGATTAAGATTTATTGTTTATTATTCTAAAGCAAATTTGACACCATTAAACTATTTTTTAATGTTGAAGAATGGATATAGAACTCTAGGAAGTTGCATTAATACTTCAAAGTTTTCTAGCTTATCTGCATTGATTTCTTCACACGATTTCAGCTCCCAAAATCAGTATCCTGGCACAGTACCTGTAGTTAACTTCACAGTGTGATTCCTCCAAGCACTGTTTCTGGCAAGGCTGCTACCTGCAGTACTTCATTTTATTGAAGTCCTTTTAGAGATGGGTGAAAACATTTGTAGAGTGCAAAGGAAAAAATACTTTACTGTGAACATGGCATTTATTATGAGACACATTTCAGAATATACTGTTATATAGCAAATGAGAAAAAATGAGCTCTGACACAAGATAAATGACCAGCGCTTGAGACCAATGAAGAATATGCACACAGCTGTTCTAACAGAACAATTCTGATACCAATCACAACATACATTATATAGCTTTTATGATCAGAGGCAATTTTAAACAATGTTTATAAAAAATGCAAATATTTGGCCTACTCCTGCATTGTTGCACATCCAAAGCTTTAGTGAATCTTACAGGTGTGTGAGAGAACAATGAGAGCAAACTGACACCCCACCTCAAGCAGAAGAAGGTAGAGATGAAGGAAACACCAAAAACAAAAGACAAAACCACTGTTCTACAAAAGTAAAAAGGCAAGTATTTTTTCAAGGAATATTATTATTTGCATGAGAAATCTTAATTGCAGCATCCCGACTCCATTAAAGCCAATGAGAATCTGCCATTGGCATCAGTGGAGCCCGAATTTCATTCTGAAATTTAAAACATTCTTGCATTAGTGTAAACATTAGCAGAAACATGTCAGCCTCTATACAAGTATTCAAGTGCTGTTTAAAAAAAAATATAAAAAAACAGACAGTGCTAACCCAAAATGCCAGTACATATCCAAAAGGCAGATAATTAAAAGGTATTTTTTCAAATATCCATTTAAAAGTATTTCAAAGCATCCATTTTTAAAATATTTGTACATCATTGCTAGTGAAGGGATCTGTAAGACAAATTATTTGCTATGATAAAGGGAGGGCACAGCATTTGCTTAAATTTAGTTGAAACCAGTATTTTTCCATGTTGGAGTCATGACATATACCTGCACATTCAAGCAGTTTCAAAAGCAGTACTTAGGAGTGGCTGTACTTCATCATTATGGTATGTAATCTTTCTGTCCAAATATTTTATCATGATTCCTCATGAACCATTTACACCCATTCATATTTTCAGGGAAAAAAAAAAAAATTCTTCAGAGATATACTTTACTGTGAACATGGCATTTATTATGAGACACATTTCAGAATATACTGTTATATAGCAAATGAGAAAAAATGAGCTCTGACACAAGATAAATGACCAGCGCTTGAGACCAATGAAGAATATGCACACAGCTGTTCTAACAGAACAATTCTGATACCAATCACAACATACATTATATAGCTTTTATGATCAGAGGCAATTTTAAACAATGTTTATAAAAAATGCAAATATTTGGCCTACTCCTGCATTGTTGCACATCCAAAGCTTTAGTGAATCTTACAGGTGTGTGAGAGAACAATGAGAGCAAACTGACACCCCACCTCAAGCAGAAGAAGGTAGAGATGAAGGAAACACCAAAAACAAAAGACAAAACCACTGTTCTACAAAAGTAAAAAGGCAAGTATTTTTTCAAGGAATATTATTATTTGCATGAGAAATCTTAATTGCAGCATCCCGACTCCATTAAAGCCAATGAGAATCTGCCATTGGCATCAGTGGAGCCCGAATTTCATTCTGAAATTTAAAACATTCTTGCATTAGTGTAAACATTAGCAGAAACATGTCAGCCTCTATACAAGTATTCAAGTGCTGTTTAAAAAAAAATATAAAAAAACAGACAGTGCTAACCCAAAATGCCAGTACATATCCAAAAGGCAGATAATTAAAAGGTATTTTTTCAAATATCCATTTAAAAGTATTTCAAAGCATCCATTTTTAAAATATTTGTACATCATTGCTAGTGAAGGGATCTGTAAGACAAATTATTTGCTATGATAAAGGGAGGGCACAGCATTTGCTTAAATTTAGTTGAAACCAGTATTTTTCCATGTTGGAGTCATGACATATACCTGCACATTCAAGCAGTTTCAAAAGCAGTACTTAGGAGTGGCTGTACTTCATCATTATGGTATGTAATCTTTCTGTCCAAATATTTTATCATGATTCCTCATGAACCATTTACACCATTCATATTTTCAGGGAAAAAAAAAAAAAATTCTTCAGAGATTTTTTTTTTTTTTGTCTTTAAACAACCAGGTGAGATTTCACATTAGGGCAATTCACAATCATGCATTCGGAGATGCACAGTCAATACAACTTTTCCATTTCCTGTTAGAGTTGTCTTCAAACAGTTCTTTGCTAATTTTTGTTCGGATCTCGGGACTGGATAACAGTTCCTTCATTTGATTCAGTCTGGATAACAGGGCCTGTGTTTCTCTGTGCAAAGCTTCCTTTATTAAGTCTGCTTCATGGCTCTTTCCTAGAGGAGAAGAACAATATAATACATTTTATAACAACTAATGTCATTTAGATGCATTAATGTATGGAGATAAAGAGATTGTATCTGGTTTGGACAGTATAAACTGCTCAGCCTTTTGCCCATATTTTTTTTATAAAAAGGTACTTTGTCAAAAAATATAATTTACATCAACAAATGCTACCAAAAGAACAGTACAGCGTTGCACCGAAGAGAAACTCCTGCCATTTTACATACTGTGTAACAGTATCTGCGGTGAGTATCTGTAGTGGCAATTTTTAGCTTGAGGTTGATTGCTGTTGACTAGGAAACAGCATGTGCTCTCCCATGGAGCAAGCAGCCCTGCAGCCGTGCCAAGCCCCCGGGTGAGGGCATCACTTCCACTTCTGGCAAGGCCTCTTCCACAGCCATTCACGACAACCCACGAGACAAACAAAAATGGTTCAGTTTCTCTTCAAAAGCAAGGAAAGGACTCTTGGTATCAAGAACCAGTGAAGACTGGAGGTGCCTGCTTCACAATTCTTGTCTTTTCCCCACTGTCCATCCCTCCCAGCGTTCAACAGCTTTTCAGCAGTGCAAGCACATATTAAACCAGCAGACAGTGTCCTTCGATTCTGAACAAACTTTTGATAAGAGGCTCACAAAGCAGAGTGCCTGTCACCCAGCACCACTTAGTAAATTTCAGCAGGGAGCTGGGATGTGGTTTTGTGGTTATTCCTGGTGAGACATTTTCTCCAGGGCTTCTTGCACAGTGCTCACTTGTGGTTATCATCGTCAGTCTCGTTCTTACTGCCACTTGCTCCTTCTTCAGTTTTCATGGAGCTTCCATCAGTCTGTGTGGTCTTGTTTTGTGTTTCTTCTAAATATTGCTGCACAGCCTTCAGCACCGCGTTCTCCACCAGCCTCTTGCTGAGGCTCACCAGCTCTGCATCATCTGGCTCTGCTGCATGTTTTTCACCTATGCGTCACAACAGACAAGAGAAGGAATTCATTGCCACAGAAAGAGAGTAGCCGTAATTGCATCAGGAGTGAGCTGGACTTTAAGTTACTAACTGCTTCTTCCTGATTGCAAAAAGTGATTTCCCCCTCCTCAAGCTCTGAATCAAAAGTGTTGCACGAAGGTGCATGCTGTAAATCAGATAAAAAATACTTCCCAGCTCATCTTTATTGTAACAGCACAGTAAACCACTGGCTAACACTGTGAGCACCCACTCAGCTCAGACGAGTGTGCAAATTTCTTTTCTTCCAGTCAAAAACCTCCAACCATTGGGGCAAAGCTGAAGAACATGGCACAGGATGAATTTATATTTTAGCTGCATTCTTAAATTTAGCTATCCCTGCTTTGTGATTTTGCTTAATAAATCTGAAAATCTTCTACCTACTTATTAATTGCTTGTAATTCAAGAGTTTCTCATGGGAAAAATGACTAAAATACTCTAAGCACAGCTTAGAATTTTTTTCTAAACAGAGCGTGACACTTGGAAAAACCCTCCCTGTGTCTCTTCTGTCTTCTAACTAAAAGCTCTGACGTTGAAGGAATGCAAGTTCCAGCAGTCTATTCTTAGGTATCTGCTGATAAAAGCAAGAAGCTGGCACTTCTCTGCTTTGTTAAGAGTTCATATGAATAAACATATACAACAAAATAACAGTACACATAGTGAGGATTCTCACATATCATTACATGTATTTTGAAATTGTACTTTTCCCTGAATAATTTTTCTAATAAACCATATAGCCTACTACAACATCCTTCCTTTATGAAGAATGCAATCCAGGAAAAACAGATTTTATCATCTGATTTTCACTAACCACTTTGCAAAATGTCACTCTGTGATTTCTTGCTCTAGGTAAATAACTTTCCCTCCATATATATGTAAATGCCATACTTTTAATGTCCTTTTCCGGAGTTAGCATTCTGCAACCAGTAATAAGAGGCTGCTTAATCACACACATCTGGTGAAAGAGATACTATCGTTTGCTCTCAGCACAAAGCTTTGTACCATGCAATTATCTCAATTTGCTCTTTTTCACATACATAAATTTATTCAAGTTTGCAGCACATATAGATTATAGTTTTAAAAGACTTTCATTAGTCTTCCTAGTGGATTGCACAACCCAGGAATGATTGCCCTGATAAATCACATCGGGATTTGAGGGGGAGAGTTAAACATAACTCTACATTTTCAGAGGCAGCTCCTATATTAGCTGTTAACATCCCACTGTGGAACAGGAGGAGAGGTCGACCTCTTCCAGGTCTGGGTCTCCATAGGGTTGTTACTGTGGGGAAGGAAGAAACAGTTTCTCCAGCTGAATAGTCACCAGACTAGATACAGGTAAATAATTTAACCACATTTTGAAAAAACTCTGGAAAAATACTCTAAAAATTGTTTTAAAAGGCAGCTATGGGAACAGTTATAGTTAAAAAAAAAAAAAAAAGAGGAAGAAAAAAAAAAAAAGATAAAAAGGGAGAAAGATGTAAAAAGGTTTAGCATTTCCAGAAAGAAACATTTTAAGTTAACATGCAAGTCCAAGGAAGGTACAGGAACTACTCCCCAAACTCCTCTAACAGCACCATACTCCCTATTCTGTGGCCTGCTGTTACCATGTTCCTTTGCTATCTGTAAATCCTGGGTTTAAGTCTATCCTGACTAAACTGAGAGGAGGGACTTAATTCAGGCTCTTATCTATCTGGGGAGCCAAGACAGATATGAGCAGCATCCCCTCCCAGTTTTTATTAATTGATCCCACATTCTTCTTTGAATGCAGCCCATTGAGTACAAATTTCCTTGCCTTTTATTAAAGATGCTTTGGTTGTCCCAGTCTATTTGTTCACTAGAAAAAAAATAACAATGTGGTCTCCGGTTGGAATGACACACTCATTTTTCAGAATTGCTTGTGAATCACAGAAATTGTTACTCACAGAGCTCTAATGATCTGTCCACATATCTCTGAATAAAATCAATGGGAATTACAGTGCTCTGCCACTGGACCCTATAGAACTTAATATGCCAAATATGACTAATCTGACACTGAAGCATCCAGATACCACAAAACAGTAGTGATATTTACTTAGAATGTAATTCCACTTGTAGTGCATGATGTTTTAGTCTAAACAAAGGACAGATCTCTTCCCATAAAAATATTTTCTGCAAAACAGCTATAATTTACAGATATATGTATAAAATCCATATATCTACTAATGCATTTAGAACTTCAAGTTCAGTAGACAGTTGTGTACACAATTTCTCAAGCATGAAGTCAGACTACTTGGTGGGCAGACTAGATGACCTTCCAATCCAAACTACTCTACGATTCTACTTAAAATAAGCCTTTTAAAAGGCTACAGAAGTATATTTTGGGGGTTGTTTTTTTTTTTTTAATATTTGCTTTAAACATTTTGAGGCATTCATGGCTCACCAACAGTTTGGAATTGAGTCTACAGTAGCTCCTAAGTAAGCTCTGCATTCCCACTCAGAAGGTATACATTGAATGAGACTGATGTGTAGAGGCAAATGCATGAACAACCCTGTATGAAGATCGCCCTTGGATTTATCTGTCCTGCCACCTTGGTGGACTGGCACATGGGGCTATGTGATTCACTCATGTTCTGTTTGTATTCTCACACTCCCTAAATAGCAGTTGTGTGAGTGCCTGTATCATGCTGAGGTTCATTGGTAAGGCAGTTAAACTATTGTATCATTCCTATTCATGACTGTTGACAAAAAGAAACAGGTCATGTAATAATAACAGGTATTGATCATCTATATTTAATACACATCCATGTCCTGCTTATATCTCTCTCTCCATGCTCCAACTGCCTGTTTCTCAAACACATACAATTCCTTGACAGCAGGCAAATACAAATGTAGACTTTCTTTACTGGAATTACCAGAAAATCAGTAAAAAGCCATTGCAGATATGAATGTTTTAAATCTAAAATGGAGGTTTAAAAATTCAGAATTGCTTGTTTGTAAACTCTGTTCTGAAAAGAGAACAAATGCACCACGTGTGCTATACTTGCATCTATGCTGTGCCTCAGTATGGACTGTGCCACTATTTTACTTTTGTGCCTGTGAATAAAAAACTTCCACTGCCTTCTCCTCCATGCGGCTCAGAAAGAAAATGAAAAAACCTTTCATTTTCTTTATCCCAGAGTTCTCTGTCATAATTTTCAAAACATGAAAATAAATTCATACCGTGTGCATGTATCTCAGTGCACCCATGATCGGCAGTGCTTTTTATTACTGAAACAGAAGCATACCTGTTGTCCTGAAATGACCACGTTTTTTTACACAAGTGAACTCTCGACTGCAGAGAATTATTCAAAAGGGGCTTTGTGATCCTATAGCATACTGCTAGCAATTGTGGACATGAACCAGATACCTGCAACTGACTTCAACTTTGGATTTAAATTCACTGCTATATCTCTCTGCTGGAATAGGTTTACTCTTCCAGCCTACACCCTCTCATAGTTTACAAGGCTGGGATCTGGATTTTGAAATACTGATTGGAACAAATCAGTTTCATGGTCCTGGTACACCATTTTCACAGTCACATGAGAGTCCATGTGCATATCTCATCTTTGGAGAGAGGCATGACAGTTATTTAGATCCTCCTCCTATTTATATTACTAGTGCATTTATTTGTGAGAGGAACGAACAGTGGGTCCTTTTAATGGGAAAAGCCAATTTTACTAACTTTTACCAGCTACATTTCAAGACAACATTCTGTAATCCCTACTCCACAGCCTCAACACACTGGTTTTGTTTTTCCTTCCAACAACCCTTCATCACAACAAAATGATGCCAACATAGGGCAAATTGTAAAGGAGATGCTTGGTATTTTGAATAGCTGACCAGGACTAGCTGGGAAGTCCATACTTTGGCAGTAGAGGTCACAGTTTGCACCCTGAGGAGGGCTGTGGTAACAGACATGCCTCTGTCTACTCTTTGGTTCATCTGTTTTTGAACACTGCTTTTATGAAATCTAGAAATAAAAAAAAACATGAGGGACTCAGAAAATCTTTCAAAAAAATTAAATGTTAAAAAATTCCTTCTGAATGCTGGAGAAATTCATTTTTCTGCTAACACTGTGCATCTCACTGACACCAAGAGGGAAGCCAAGTCACTGCTGTGAACACTCAAAGCTTCCGCTGCAAGCCTCCCTTTCTATGGTGACTCCTCAGTGGCTCCAACTTGTAATAATCCCTCACTGTAAGATAATTGTTAACCTCTCTGAACATTGACAAAAAGCTTTGCTGGTATACAGTACAGTGGGACTGGAAGAAAGGCAGTAACTACCTTAACAATTGATGGACTAAGAAACCTTCAACAGATGGTTCATTATCTCTATGTTATCAGGATAAGACCCAGGAGTCAAGACTTATTTTGTATTCACAACGCCCAGGAAGATGCAAACTACTGCAAGGCTGCCATACCTGCCTGCAGTCTATGGAAACATATAGCTTCTTGCTACATTAGACCATTTTGTCTACAGAGTCTAATTCAGAATCCAATCCCAATTACTTTGATGGGAACCAGATGAGGTTCCCAGACCAATGTACTGAACTGCAGTGTCCTATGCACCAGACCAATGTGTTTGACATTTTCTTTACTGAGGGCTTTCAGATAAATCTGATAGGTCTTAGAGACAGAACAGAACTACAGTATTACAGAAACACCCACAACCCCCCCACCCCCCACCCCTTGACCTGCAAAGACAGTGAGAACACACTCCAAACTGAAGAACAAGCTATAACCAGCCAACAGACTATGATTTACACCCTTGTAACAGCTGGTGAATGAGACAGCACATTCAAGATCATGGTTTTGAAGTAATGGGCACAAACAAGACCACGTGTGCCCATATCTAATCAACACAATAAGCAAAGACAGGAAACTCACAACTCTCAACATTTCCTCTTTAATTAGGAAGGACTACTATGCAATGACTCTGGAG